TGAGTCAGGTCTGGCTCGATAGCACATAACAACAACACACCTATAAGAAGCAGGAAAATATTATCTATAACCAGGATAAAAGAAGTATTCTATCCAAAACCAATAGAAACAGACTCAGAGATGACCTAGATGGTATACTAACAGATAAAGACTATGAAACATCTACATAAATATGTTTAACAATTTAAAGAAAAAGAACATAATTAGTGAACAAGTGAACGTCAACAGAGAAACGAAAACCAGAAATTCACAGATAGAATGTACAGTTTATTTAATAACCATGGAAAAAGATCAGCCAGCTTGAGGTCAGGCAAAAGAAGATACCCAAACTGAAACATAGGAAGATAAAAGAATGATTTTAAAATGAAAAGAGCCTCAGTTACTTAATGACAAAAATAAGATAAAGCATACTGACATACATGTATTTTGATCTCAGGAGTAGGAAGAATTAAGGGGTGAAACAAATTGAGAAGATGGAATCAGTGTATTCCATTTTATTCTTCCTGCTAATTACAAATGAAACCAAATGCAACTATCCTAACACTCTGAAAGCTAAAGTAAGTAAGGCACACTGGCTGGGGACATCCAGATGAGGGGATGATCTAGCTGTAAGCCTCCCTCTTTTTTTTTTTTTTTTTTTGGTGCCTCCTATGTGTGGTCATAAAGCAGATTACAATCTGGAAACATCAATATGTACAAATGAAATAAAAGCCCAACAAAAGACTGCTTTCTCTAACCTAAGGACCACAGAGAAGACAGCTCTAAAGGACATAACTTTTTTTTTTTCTTTATCTTGAGAAGTTGTATTTAATCAAATAAAAAAATCCACGGCCGTGGAGTTGGATCGAACTCATAGCGGCCCCTCCTTGGGTTTCTGAGGTGGTGTCACTACGGAAGTAGATCGCCCAACCCTCCTTCTGAGGAGTGGCTGGTGGGTTTGAACCTCCAGCTTTCTGGTTAGCAGTCAAATGCCTTAGGTACTACGCCACCAGAGCTCCCATTAATCAAATGTTTTTGTTGTTATGTGCCATTGAGTTGGACCCAACTCATAGCTACCCCTCCTTGGGTTTCCGAGGTTGTATCACTACAGAAGTAGTCTGCCCAATCTTCCTTCCAAGGAATGGCTGGTGGGTTTAAACTGCCAGCCTTCTGGTTAGCAGTCAAGTGCCTTAGGCACTATGCTACCAGAGCTCATATTAATCAAATAGAGACATACACATTATTTTTTTCCAGGTCATTGTGGCACAATGTTTTTATCTTTGTGTCTGCTTGAAAAGTTTTGGTTCCTAACACGTTAGCCATTCACGTCTTGGTTCTTGCTGCCCTCAAATACTGCCCAAACACTGGGCAGGTTATGGTGTAATATAACAAAGCCTAGGAGTGAGGCCATCAGAAACCAAAAACCAACTGTATATCAGATTAGGAGAGTTATGTCACCAATGCTGGAGTCCCTGAAAGAGCTAGCACAGGAGACTCTTAGGGTTATTTACACCTATGGTAAATGTGTCCCTGGAGGGTCAGATTTGACGAGGGGGAAGGAGAATGCCAAGGATATTAGGGAATCGAGACTCGAATTCTCATCCTACTTGTTTTTCTTTTTTTAACATTTATTGTGCTTTAGGTGAATGTTTTCATAGCAAATTACTTTCCCAAGCATTAATTCATACACAAATTGTTCCTGTGACATTGGCTGCAATTCCCTCAAGTTATCAGTGCTCTCCCATTTTCCCCCTGGGTTTCCCATTTCCATTCATATAGGACAGAAGTCTTGACTATACTGGCTGTATTCCAGATGTTATGGAAATTGTAGAGGGAAGCCCCGTCAACCAACATCACTCTGCTGTAACCAAGCACTCCTGCACCTCCCCCCTGAGCACTGGGGAGACCAAGGTAGAGTCCTGTTGATTATCTCTATACTAACAAGATGGCACCCTACCCCACTGAGTGCTGCAGAGATTATGAGACAGAGTCCCGTGAGCCATTCCCACCCTACAGTATCGAGACAGTGCCCTTTTCCCTTACATGGCAAGCCCTATATACCTCTCTGCACTGATATTGGCAGAGCAGTGCCTCTCTCCTCCCCACCAGACACTGTGGAGACTGTGCAGTAGAGCCCTATCACCCGTCATCACTCTGTAGGAAACAAACATCGGCAAAGATACAACTCTCTGCTTCCTCAATGGCTGCCAAGAATGTGGGGAGAACCCCTGTTGACAGCCCCTGTTTTGTAATAAATGGATGACAGTACAACATAGAAGGACCCCACACCCTCCCAACTGGAAAACCCTGCTCTCAGTAATCAATATCACTACTAGACAGAAAATCAGCAAAGATATAAAAGAAGTGAGTAATACCAGAAACCAATGGGGTATTACAGATGCTATGTAGTCCTGATGTAGAAGGACTCCACCTCTGAACAGGAGAATGCATGTGCTTTTCAAGTGCAGATGGAATACTCACCAAGACAGCACACCTTAACAAATTTAAAACAATTAGACAAAGTTTATATTCTCAAACCATAGTAAAATAAAAGTAGAAATCACTATCAGGAAGATAACAAATATTTTTGAACAACTGAAAATTAAACAGCATACTTCTACATGATCCAGGGGTCAAAAAAAAAAAAAAAAAAGAAAGAAAAGAAACAACCTCAAGGAAAGGTACAAAATATTTTGAATTGAGTGAAATGAAAATACATCATAACAAAATTTATGGTATGCAGTTGTTTTGGTTACCTACGGCCACTCTGACAGAAATATACCACAAATGGGATGGCCTTAACACATAGGAGTTATCTTCTCTTACACTTTGGAGGCTTTAACTCCAAATTGCAAGTGCCAGGCTCTGGGGGCTGGGTGAAATGCCCTTGATCCTGGGCTTCAGCTCTGCTTCTTGCTCCTGGCCCGCTGAAGCTAAAGGCATCTCTTCACTCAGGCAGCTACTGGCTGCTGAGGCTAACAGGCTCAGGGCCCACAAGTAAAACGGCACAGTCCCAATGTTACCAAACCACAGAGCAGACCATTAATTCAAGTCCACTGTAAATTCAAGTCCACTGTAAGTCCCAAGGTCAGCAGAGCATGGCAGGCTGCTGAACACAACACTGCTACATGCAGGGTCCAAACATTCCATAGACTAGAGACCATTCCCAAGGCATCTCCTTATATACAGGAAACAGACCACATTCCCTAAGGCAGCTACTCAGCTGCTCACAGTAGATTCCACCTTGGAGTTGATTACCAGTCTCATCATGGGGAATACTACATCCAGCTGCCCAGCCATTCAACCAGGCCCAGCCAAGCTGACACACAAACTGAACTACCACAGCAGTCAAGATAGAGTAGGACATTTATAGCATTAAATGCTTATATTAGAAAAAAAGGCTTCAAATCAAAAGCCTGAGATTCCACCTAAACTAGGAAAAAAAAAAAAAAAAAGAAAGAAAATAAACCCAAATCAAGCTGAAGGAAGGAAATCAT